GGTGAGCGGGCCCCCGCCACCCCCCGCCCTGCCACCCCGGGGATGGGCACAGGGGTCTCATGCTGCCCCTTCCCTAGGGCACCGACCTCCCCGGCGAGGAGGATGCCGAGAGCGGGGCTGAATTCGGCTCCCGGGTGCAGCTGGGGGGCAGCGAGGAGAGAAGGGCAGGTGAGCTCGGGCATCCTGGCACAGGGATGGGCACCGGGGTGGCACCAGCAAAGCCATCCACTGGGCAGGGTGGGGTGGCCACCACACAGCGTCCCCGGGGTGCGGGGGCCATGCCGGGAGCACCCCGGTCTTTTGGGACAACGGTGACCTGAGCCCCGTCCCCACCAGTGGCCGGGCAGGCACCGGGCAGTGCCAGCAGCGAGAGCGACTCCAACAAAGTCCGGAACAAACTCCGCAAGTTCCTGCAGAGGCGGCCGACGCTGCAGTCCCTGCGCGAGAGGGGCTACATCAAAGGTGGGTGCTGGGGATGGGGCTGAGCCCCCTCGGGGTGTCCCCAGGCTGGGAGGCAGGTGGGGGCAGTCAGGGATGGAGCTGGGACAGGGGGTTGGGGGACCAAGCCCAACCAAGGTCAACCCAAGGGTGATGGGCTTGGGCACGTCCCATCACCTCCAGCCACCCCTTAGGGGATCGGGCCCTCCTGCGATGTCCCCAGCCCCGTCCCCTACCCTGGACCCACCACCATCCTTCCAGCATCACCCAGCCACACTCAAGCCCTCTGTTGGTTTTTCCAGATCAGGTTTTCGGCTGCTCCCTGCAAGCGCTGTGCGAGCGGGAGCGGGGGACGGTGCCCCGCTTCGTCCTGCAGTGCATCCAGACCGTGGAGAGGAGAGGTACTGCCCCGGGGCTCAGGGACAGGGACAACCCGGGGGGCACTGGGGTGGGGACAGCTCTGGGTAAAGCCTAAATTTGATGGGTGGGGTTTCCCTGGAAGCTGGCTGCTGTGTCCCTGCAAAGCAGGCACCTCCCAGGGGACAGTGGAGATATGTGGGTACCCGGAGCCCCCTCAGTGGTGGCTGGTGTCATGTCCTGGGGTGGGCTGTGATTAAGTGGGAGCTTCTCCCCCATCTCCATCGTCCTCTGCCAGGTCTGGACATCGATGGGCTGTACCGGGTCAGCGGCAACCTGGCCACCATCCAGAAACTGCGCTACAAAGTGGAGCATGGTAAGGTCACCCGTGGTGACAATGGGGGACAAACGGGATATAACCCCCCCAAGGGCAGGGTGACAGGGTCAGGGAGGGAGGGGATGGGGACCCTGGCCCTGAGGTGCTGTCCCGGCCCCTCAGATGAACACCTGGACCTGGATGATGGGCGCTGGGAGGACATCCATGTTGTCACCGGGGCACTGAAGCTCTTCTTCCGGGAGCTGACAGAGCCGCTCGTCCCCTTCAGCCACTTCGACAAGTTCATCGCTGCCATCAGTGAGGCCTGGGGACAGGGAGGGGATGGGAATGGGGATGGGGATGGGGATGGGGGTGGGAGGGGGTGGGGTGGGCCAGACACCAGCCAGCGCGCTGGGGCTCGGCAGGACCTGTCACTTCTTTATCTGCCTTGTAATAACGCTGGAATTAACTGCTCTGATCCCAATCCCCGATGGGATGGGATGGGATGGGATGGGATGGGATGGGATGGGATGGGATGGGATGGGATGGGATGGGATGGGATGGGATGGGATGGAACGGGGAGGGGATGGGGATGGAATGGGGATGGGAATGGAATGGACATGAGATGGGGATGGGAGTGGGGATGGGAAAGGGAATGGGATGGAGATGGGGATAGGGATGGGATGGGGATGGGATGGGGATGGGAGTGGGGATGGGAAAGGGAATGGGATGGAGATGGGGATGGGATGGGGATGGGGATGGGGATGGGGATAGGATGGGATGGAGATTGGGATGGGTACAGGGATGGCAATGACAATGGGACTGGGGACAGGGGTGGCAGTGATGATGGGGATGGGGACAGGGATGGGGACGGATGCTGGACCCAGCACCTCACCATGTCTTCCCTCCCCTTGCAGAGATGCAGGACCCGACCAGGCGGGGCCGGTGCATCCGTGACCTGGTGTTCTCCCTCCCACCTGCCCACCATGACACCATGAAGGTCCTCTTCCGCCACCTCTGCAGGTGACACCCGTCTCACTCCCCCCAAACCCAACCTGGTGGCAGGAAGGGGGACAGGACCTGGCTTTGGGGACATGCCAGGTGACACCGTCCCCTGTCCCCGCAGGGTTATCGAGTACAAGGAGGAGAACCGCATGTCAGTGCAGAGCATTGCCATTGTCTTTGGCCCCACACTGCTGCGGCCGGCGAGCGAGGAGGGGAACATGGCCATGCACATGGTCTTCCAGAACCAGGTGGTGGAGCACATCCTCAACCAGTACAGCTACATCTTCCCCGATGGCTAAAACCCCCAGGGGACACACATGGGGACAAGCCCAGCGGTGGGGGACATGAAGGAGCAGCGTCTCAGGGGAAGGACTTGGCCACGTGTCACCTCGGTGGTGGCAGTCGTGGGCTCGATGAAGGACAGTGCGGTGGCCCCGGCTCACTTGGGATGCGGCTCGAGGGATGGGTGCTGGAGCTGGGGGCACCCCAAGCACCCCATCCTCTGCCACCCGCTCCTGCTGGGGCCGGAGCTGCAGAGGTTGAGCCCCAGGGGGTGCATGGGGTTCAGGGGAGTCCCCATCCGTCAAGAGGGGACGATGGACCCCTGCAATCCCCAGTTCGCTGGTGGCACAGACCCGGCACCCCCAGGTAAGAGGATGGAGGTGCCTGGCCAGGCAGTGCCTGCAGGGACGGTGCCACCAACGGGGCGGGCAGGGAGAAGCCGGGCTGTGCCGTGGCCGGAGCCGGTGTCCGGCATGAGCCCACCACCATATTCCCAAATAAAGAGCCCATTCAGCTGCAAGGGTGAGGCGTTGCTGGCAGGGCACGGGGACATCCCTGGGGACACCGGTAGCACAGAGGGGGCTTGGTGCCCCTTGGCTCCTGGTGGCCCTTGAGGACAAGATGTGCCCCTTGTACCCCACGAGGAGGAGGGGACCTTGGCATCCCCAGAGGGGCAAGACTCCAGGACACCATGGTGACCGTGTCCCCTGGGCTTTGGGACCAGGCACTGCCAGCGATATGGTGGGGAGCGGGTACCAGCGGGACGTGAGCCCCCATCACCCAGAGTGAGGGACACTTTGGGTCATTATGGAGACAATTAGGGATGCAACCAGGACAGTATGGGACACCAAAGGGACAGTAAGGGACACAACCGGAATGCTTTGGGACACAATAGGGACACTAAAGGGCATGGCAGGGACACAGGAGGATGCTTAGGGACACAGTGGTGACGCTTTGGGACACAACGGGGGTGGGCCAGCATATGACAGGGGTTTGGGACATGGTGGGGATGGCTGGGGTATAGAGGGGACACTTTGGGATGCAGTGGGGACACTGGGGGACACAACAAGGGCACTTTGGGGCACAGTGGGGATACTTGGGGGCAGAAGAGGACAACTTGGGCTGCAGTGGGCACATTTTGGGATGCAAGGAGACACTCTGGAGTGCAAGGGGATGCTTCGGGCGTGCAGTGGGGGTACTTGAGGACACAACGGGGATGGGACAGGGACAATTTGGGATGCAGTGGGGAGATTTTGGGGCACAAGGGGGTACCCTCAGGGGACAAGAGGATACTTCGAGGGTGAAGCAGGGGCGCTTTGGGACGTGAGGGGACGCAGTGGGGACACTTTGGGACGCAGCGGGGACATTTTGGGGCACAAAGAGATACTTTGGGAGACGAGGGGATGCTTCAGGGGAGCGGTGGTGGCAGTTTGGGACACGACGGGGACACTTTGGGACAGGAGGGGGCCGCTCTGGGACACGAAGGGGGAAACTTGGGGCCCCCGGCGGGGCCACC